GGAGACGGCGCTCTATATAATAATCCGGTATTCCGGTATTCAGGACAAGGGCGGAATGTAGTACCATGTGACGTATTCCACATCGGGCTTATGTACGTTTACGTACGATGACAAATTTGCTGTTGGAAAAGTTGTGATAGAGAGACTATCGCTGAATAGTGGATAAGTGTCTAGCACCAATACACATTGTGCGTTGAGGAGTTCTCAATGTACGATAATAGCACTGCATGATTGACTTTGACAAGTCCAGTCTGGGTGTTTATGGTGTTAAGTGCAGTGATGACTGGGTTCAAGTGATGTGTGAAAGATTAGAGCAACCTAAAGTGATCGATATAAATTTCTTTTCTTGGTTTCTAGTTTCCACATTGCAGCAGCGAGACTATTCTCCTTGGAATCTCAATATGTTAGATACTGTTAGAGTGGTCAGTAACAGATTGGAAACCTTGGTTATCGAATTAATATTAAAAGTTTATAAATAGTAGAATAATAATAGCAAGAAGCCAAAAAACAGGAGGCCACACACCTAGCTGGTGATAACATAAAATTAAAGAAAAATCGACTTGGCTATGAATAACTGTAAAAGATATACACTATAGACGCGCCTCTTCCAATAGGGAATTTAATATTAAAAATGTTGCACGTACACTTGTATGTATCTACATACAACTATCTAACACGTAGAATTAAGAAACTCATATACAACTATCTAACACGTAGAATTAAGAAACTCATATACACGTGTATATATACATATATATATATATATATATATATATATATATATATATACTTTCGAAATGGAAAAGCACCATCAGAATATCTCGTTGGTAATATACATTAGGTCAATGTGACTAATTTCTTGCACATACATACATACATACATACATACATACATACATACATACATACATGCATATAAGAAATTAATGTATGACAAACGAAAACAAATCGTTGAAAAACGTAATTTTGAAATCGCGAAAAAAAAATAACAAAAAGTCATGCGTCGCTGATGCGAGGCTTGACATTGTGACAAGTGTAGAGGAGATAAGAGAAAGAGATAGCATAATAGCAAAAAAAAAAAAATTGGCAAAATAAAAAAAATGAAAACCGAAATATTTAAGCAATGTGATGAGCAGTGCAAAGCGTAAATACATTTGTGGGCAAAATAAATGCAGCTAATAATAAAAAGTAGCCAAAGTAAAAAAAAGGCTCGATATAAGATGTTTGTATGTAGGTAAAATATATCATTGTAACATTGAAACCACTTCAACTTTCGATAAACTATCCCCCCCTGCGGGTTAGGGGGTGCAAAAATTTACCCGCGATAAGGCATGCCTGTCGTAAGAGGCGACTAAAATCCAATAGTTCCCGCGACAGTCGGGTCTTTATATCGGAACGATGCGGATTTTTTATCCGGCCAAGGGCTGTCACTCCCGCAACATTCCCCAAAGAGAAATTTAGGGAATATTTTTGTTGTTACAACAACAACAACAGCGATAAACTGTCGAACAATGAATTTTTCTTTTCACGAAATTAAACTTTTCTGAAAAAGTTTATGCTCTCACACTCTGTACTGAATTTATCGCCGCAAATGTTATCGATTTAACGATTCTTTTAACACAACAGTTAATGCAAAAGGATTAAATTTACCTTCAAAATGCAATTTTTCGCACTTTTCACTTTTTGTTTGTGCTTCCTTATTGGATTATTGCTATAAAATTATTCAAAATTTCTTTTGTATAACCTCACTGTTGTCAAGTGCAGAAGAATGGCATGCAAAACAAGCCGAACAAGTGGTCAACTTAAGAACACTGGAAACTAGATAAGAGGCTGTGATTGCAAAATGAGTTACAACACGAAATTCTTGTATTTAGGGCAGATGTTTCATTATTACTTTTCAAAAAGATCTTAAATTGTATTTGGTAAAGAAAGTGAATGAGTGAGCTTGAGATGTCGTGGGAACAGATACTATATACATATGTACATACATACATACATACCGACTTGTGGGAAAACAACCGAGTTTGAAACAAAGCTGAAAGCTTATGATACAGATATGTACATACATACAGACATTAATATATTATTATATAATGCTGATCAGCTGTTTTACAACACATAATATTTTATAATATTGCACACTATGCAATTAGCACTCTATTACTAACAGCAGATTGTGTACATAAGTACATGTGTTTTGTATTGTAATGACGTCACTTGGTGTAATTGCTGCGATGGCACTTGCTTATTGCATTTTTGCTGACTGTTGTTTTTTTTTCTTTTTTTTTCTCTCATTTTCACCTATGCACAGATTACAATGACAAAACAAAATGTCATAAAGAGCACTTCAGTTTTATTTTTTTTTCCTCATGCGTACACGTTCTTTGTTTCAAAAGGTTTGTAAAAAAAAAATATCTTAACTAAGATATGCATAGTGGACATATCCTTTTCTATATTTTTGTTTCCTTAACCTACAGGATTATATTTACGCCTACCCCGAGCGGCTGTCAACTATTTAATCGATACACTTTTTTGAGGAACGTAAAGCTTTAAGAGCAAATCCAAAAGAAATCTTGCGGCCCTATCACGTAGGAGCGCATAAAAATGGCAGCATACAAACATACGCACCATACATTTTGCATTAAATTAAAACACAGCAGTATTTATCGGTTTGGGCATAGTTATCGGTGTCAACCGATTGTAGGTAATGCTTTGATTTTTTTTTTTTTTTTCGCTTTGACACTTTTCTTGTGTTCACCACCTTTCACCCTTTTTATGAATAAAAAAAAATGTAAAAAAATAAAATACGAAATCAATGCACATGCAGCCGAGCTGGTCTCTACACCCCTTTAAAACGACGAATTAATGACAAAATATCTTTGAGATACGAAAGATATGTGTGGGCAACGAAAGATAACATACGAAACGAATGCATAAAGCAATATAGTAAAAATCTGACAATGCGTTCTGACTTGTCGCTTTGTCTCGCTTTCACACTGTCACCCAGAAGTGCATTGAATGCAGCAAAGACAGAAAGAATCAAATAGCGGAAGTATGTATAGCTATGTCGTTGAAAAAGAGAACAAAGAAATTTATGTATGTATGTATGTATGTATTTATATGGTGCATAGGGCAATGCAGCCATGCAAGGGGGAATAGAAAAGCACTTGACGATAGTAATAATGATGATGAACAAATAAACTGGTAATACAAGGTGCAAGTAATAGCCAAGTGCGAGGCGCTAAGATACCTCTTCATGAATTCGTTTTAACGAATTTGAAAATAATTGTTTGAGTACGTTAATATATTTAATTGTTATTTCATATTCAACTTTTTTATCTACAAACACGCAAACTTATTAAAAATTCGTATCTTACAAATATACGACGCAATAGTATATTGGCAATGATGGCAAGAGCCACAGCACACAAAAGCAGCGCAGCGAAACCGAACGCACGTATACGTTTTACTTTTTTTGCTTTATTTTCTTTTTAGCCAAAGCGAATGGAGAAAGCAAAAACTTAAGACTGCAAGCAGATCGTAGGAGCAGCAAAATCGTCAGCCCAATGGAATATACAGCTTATGAGAGCACACTAAAATCCGAGTGGCAGAAATCTAGGAAAATTCTGTATATACAAAAGCGACACTTGTATGCCTATTAAATCGCCGACTAACCATTCGTCCAGCTGAGCATTATGGTTGATGGAAAACTACATTTCATACACTCAATTTTATAACCATACACAGTTTTCTGTCCATAAATATTTATCGATTTATATTTATTGGTTAAATAACCAGCACCAAATAAATTTCTATACTCGCGTTTCGTTTTTAGCCATAGAATCACACTGCTTTTCAATCTCCAACAGAGCCTACTTTCAATGGTAACCTCACATTTCTCCAATTGAGACCGCAGCGGTTGGCAGCAACGACTGTTGGCGTAAATTGCTACATACAAGCAGCTATCCTGCTCCAATTCATGCATTTCGAATGAGAGTTGAATTTTTGCATATTTCCAAGAGAAAAAATAGCACGTCAGTTGTCTCATTTCTTGATGACAGCAGTAGCAGCACGCTACTTGTGTACGTCGACAGCACAGTCGACGTTACGAGTGCGTGCGTTCACTCATGTACGCTCGTTTGCTTGCTCGCTCTTTTCAATTTAATATACTCAATACTCCCTCTTCCTGGCGTAGGATTTATTTTCAAGGATAGTCATACATTTTTCTACATGACTTCAGCGCTTTTCCAATGCTGGATAGCGACGGTGTGCCACCTAAAACTGTCACTTTTGCTACGCCTTGGCCTTTGCTCGGGTGACAACTGTGAGGGAATTTTGTATTTTAACTAAAGCATGCTGTCATCAAATTTAATTTTACAGAGCAAACACACACATAAATGTAATGGGATAGATTTTCACTACTTGAAACTCTTACAACTAAGAAGGATTTAAAGGAAATACTTAAGGAGTTTGAAATTTCATTCATTATACACTCACGGAACCACGGAATCATTGCTTGCGTTGCATTAACAATTATGATCAACTGACGAACTGGCTAGCTGCCCGAATGGCGCTGTCGCCACCGTCGCTTACACACGTACGTACAGATATGTAGAAGACACCCAGCACTTGATTCCTTGCCTTTTCTTCAATTTGCTGTATCTACGTCTTTTTTCTTTTTGTTCTTGTTCGATTCTAGTATTCGTCTGTTCTCTTTTTTCTTTTTCACTATACTCCAGCCGTTTTCTCTTCAAATATCTGTGCTCACTATATAAATCACATATATGTATATTTTATATAATATACTTATAATTCAGGTATAAAACTTCAAATTTTTTATTTTAAAACCACACCTGACATTTAAAAAATCAAATGCCCTTTTGGAAAATTGTCCAACATTCAACACTTTCGAAAACGAAAAATCACCAGCGGAAATTTAGAGAAAAAAAAATCTCCTTTTCCCTTGCTCTTCTTTTTTTACTTGTCAATTTTTTATCTACCAATTACGGTTCTTCTCCGCTTCGCTTGCGACGTCGATGAAGATCCAACACTCGCCGTACTTGAAACGACTTTTACAGCACACGTAAATACGTTTAGATCACACCGATTGACGCAAATCTACCGATTTTATAAAACTCACACAATTACTGAACGATACGCAGCGAATTTATATTATTTAATGCAGAAAATTCCAGCGCCACACGCCAAGAAATCAAGAAACGACGACTCCTTTTTTCATCAATATGGCGGTGCAGTAATGCCAACCTTACACTTGTATTTCGGTAGCGTTGCCAACGAATGGTGACGAAAGCTACGAGTGCTACCAGCTTTTTCAAGCTCTATAAAAAAAACTGCTTTTATTTGCGTTTGTAACAGCAATAATTTATTTATTTTATATGCTGCTATTTCAAAAAGTTTCATAATATCTAGCTTATTATTTCTGCAGCAATATAATAGCTTATTTTTTTCAGTTGCATACACGTTTAAATAAATTTTTACAATTTTTTTTTTCATTTCCTTTGTGCGCAGTTGGCAAGTCATCGGGTAATTGCATTTTGTTTCATACATCTCTTATAACTTTCATTTTCGTAAACAAAAGTACAAGTGTCAGTGAATTTTCTTCTCTATCCAACATTTACAAATAATACCGTTGCTTATTTGGCATTCATACGTTTTGTTTGTTTAAAAAGTGGCGGATATGCAGAAATATATCTGGCCAGTATTTTTGCCAATATTATTCTTGGCCTGCTCTCTGCCGATTTTTCTGCGCGTCTACGCCGCTGCGCCGATTGTAATCGACGAGGAATTTCATTTACGGCAGGGTCTACATTTTTGCCATAAACGCTTCGATGTGGTGTGTATTGTATTGAATTATTAGCATTGTTTACATTTAATTAACTTAATTAACAAGCGGTACACAACTTTTAGTGGGATCCCAAAATTACCACCTTTCCAGGTCTCTACCTCGTATCGTTGATACTCATACCATTTGGCACTTGCACGGAATTCGGCTTGCGTTGCATATCGCTTGCAGCTGGTACATTGAATGTACTCTTGCTGTATAAAATAAGAAGGCGTTTACTTGGCGGCGCACATGGACAGCTGGCAGCGTTAGATGCTCTTACTTTGGGGGTTTTACCACCGCTATACTTCTTCAGTCACCTGTACTACACAGATACGATATCGTTAACGACAGTGCTGCTATTTTACTACTATTGGCATAAGGAGTCACATCTGCAAGCGGCAGTGTATGGTAAGTAGGCTATATAAAACCTGTCCTTCTTTTAACCTAAGATTTCATTGAATACCAAACGAATTTTTGCAGCTGCTGCAAGTGTTTTAATGCGACAAACGAATGTAGTCTGGATTGGTATGTGCTTCGGCATAACTGCACTGGATATATTAACCGGCAATTATGCGCGCTCCAAAGGCCTTAAGAAACAGCAAGTGAATTTCCTTTACCCAAAGGTGGGTTGACATGGCTTTTAGAAATTTAACTGCCTAAATATGTGGTCATATATATAATTTAAAACACCTGATTGCAGACTCTTTTTGCCATGCTCACCTCATATCGCTTACTGGCGCGCAGCATTTGGCAAATTTTGCGTAAAGGCTGTTACTATCTCATCATTATTTTACCTTTTGTATTCTTCGTATTTCTCAACGGTTCTATTGTGATTGGCGATAAGCGTGCGCATGAAGCTACCATACACTTGCCGCAGGTTTGTGTAAAATTATTGTAAATTTTTCAAAACTTACCATTTTTAATCATTTTTTTTTTATTTTTTACACACTCCACATTTAGTTATTCTACTTCAGCGTGTTTGCGCTAGTTTTCGGCATATCCAACACACTACATGAATTTCGTGCAACACTGCGTTGGTTATCACGAGAAAAACTAATTCTGCTCTTTCTATTCGGCCTGTGCGTGCTGGTTGTTAAATGGAATACGCTTGTACATCCCTACTTATTGGCTGACAATCGTCACTACACCTTCTACATATGGAATCGTTTTTACGGCCGCTTTGCTTGGTTCAAATACGCTATGGTGCCAATATATATTTTCGCCTTGGCGCTGCTACACTCTGGTCTACAGCACATGCGTACAAGCTTTAAACTGATGTTTTGGTTAGCAGTATGTTTGATGTTGTGCTTCCAACGTTTACTAGAGCTACGCTATTTCCTCATACCATTCGTATTGTATCGTTTGCACACACAGCCGCTGATTAAAAGTCGTTGGGCCGAATGGCTGGAGCTAGTTTGCTACGTGCTGCTCAATGCGCTTACATTTTATATATTTTTAACCAAAGAAATCATGTGGCAGAATTTTAAGGAACCACAGCGTATTATTTGGTAAAGCAGCAGTACCAATGGATAGAAGTAAAAATTAAATAAAATTGAACGAGATAAAGTGTTGTTGGACTCATTGTAGGAAAACTTTTCTGCTGCTGGTGTGACAGTGCGACAATTTGTTTTGTAAATTTTCTCAAAATTACAGTTATTTGTGCCACACAGCCGCTGGCAGACACTAGTTAAACATTTCAGTACTTAAGATTTTGTGCATACTTCACAATTTTAAGCCGAAATATTCCTATTTTGCATATTTTTTACATGACATGTCTGTATGTATTTTATTAAAATAAAATAGCCACAAAATTATTTGAGGAATTTGACTTTAATTTTGAACCTTTCACACAACATTATTAGTGATTAATTTATAACATGGGGTATTATATATAATATTATAATATTGGACAGCTTGCTAACACATATACATATATATATATATATATATATAATTCGATTAATAATGGTGTATAACAGTAATTATTTAAATATAATGCAAATACTGCATAATGCATTCCAAACAATACTTAATTGGCCGCACACAATTCACCAAACAACTTGCATCGTCTCAATATTCGTAAACTTACAATTCTAGAAAATATAAGAAATTCGCAGTGATAAAAAACCTAAGTAATTTCGAAGTGCATTTAACCCATTACGCTTTGTTAACATAGCGAGATTTAATCGTAGTAAATATTTTCGAAATTTGAAAACAGCGCTAAAGGTTGGAATTTTTAACATGAAAAGGGAATTCGAAAGAATTTGTAACTTTTATGCAATATTTTTGAAGAAATTTTTAATAAAAAATGTGCAAATATTTTAAAAGCTGAAATGCATTAGCTTTAGCGGTGGATTTTGGCTTAAAACAAAAGAAACTCTGCAATGGAGACATGCAATAACTGCATAGAGCGCGTTTCCGTAACCTCCTCCCCTTACACTTTGACCTAATCTAACCTGACTTTCGAACTGCCATGACACTTCCCTTCACACTTCCTACTACATACGTGTATGTATGTATGAGCCATTCCATTTAATAGGGTATTTGATTCTGATAATACTGTATCATATCGTAGGTACGCGTACGGAAGTTCTGATACGAATTTCTTATGACCGCCAAGATATGCGCGGCCGCCTCTTTATTATTCTTGGTCGCCACAAAGCGTTGCTTCAACAAATTTATAGTCTGACCACGGAAACAGGGCAAACCTGTGTCGAGCATGAGTGACACTAGCGAGACTATTGCATCCTGATAGGGTCGTACAGCCAGGAAGGCCTCAACGCACAACTCACAGAACCACTTGAAGGCGGGCGCCTCCATTTTACCGCCCATAATCATGACCATTTCATCGGTGAGTTTGATATCGGGCTCAAAGCCGATATTACCACCTGGCGAAGACTCAAACATGAAACCAAAATCTGTGCGGAAGAGACAAAGAGAAAGAGAGAGTGTGTGTGTGTGTGTGAGGGGAGTGATTTAGTCACTGAAATATTTAGTGAAAATATCCACCCACCAATATGTATGACATGTCCATCCTTGTCTATCATTATATTGCCGTTATGACGATCCTTGATCTGCAGCAAATAACCGATCAGCGAATACGCCGCCATGGATTTGACAAAATTGGCGCGCGCTGCCTGAAATTCCTTTGAACTCTCGTCACCATACTGATGCAGGAAGTACTCATAGAGCCCGGAGTCAGTTTGACGTCCCAGCTGATCGCGCGATTTCGCATTTGGCACGCACTCAATGACACCGCACTTTTTGGAAATTAATATAAAAAATCAAAAATTAAAACTATCAATCACTCCGGCGCATAGCAAATTTGTGCACTTACACCCGGCGCAGTGGCAACCACGCGATAGGGAAAGAGAAATAGATCTAAGCCTACTTGCTGGAAGATGTTCTTGAAAATTGTTATAACCTGCAACGCGAGTATGTCCTGACGTACATCGTCGCCTACTTTGAAGATTGCCGCCTGCCACGACTCAACGCCCAGCGTCATTTTAGCATCCTCCTGTGAGTTCTGCAAGTAAAACACGCTATTTCCCAAAAGCTCGCAACACTGTGGAAGCAATTACTTACCGGATTATTGGACACCTCCATGGCGCGCGTCTCCAGCTCGGTTATGCCGCAACGATAGACGCGGAAACGCGCCAAGTAGGGCGCTTTGGCGGCGCTCTGCATGGGCGTACCGCTGTTGTAGTCAATGTCCAGCACCATAGCCTCCGGATTGGAGGGTAGATAGCAGCCAGGCTGCACTTGTATGCGTTTAAGCGCCGTCAAGCAGGCATTCTTGCGTTCAATACCCTTGGGAAAGGAGCGTATTTCACCCGAGACGGCGGTTATCTTGCCGAAGAAGTCGAATTCGCGTTCGTAAAAGCGTTTGGCCGCGCCCGAGAAGGAGGAGATTATATTCTGTGACAGCGCCTCCAAGCAGTCATACAAATTCGGATCTCTATGCTGTTGGTCTTCATCCATAAACATATTCGTTTGCATATTCCAAATGAGCTGATGTGCGACAATCTGCGAACGCTTGGAAATATTCTTAATAAACTCTGCCACATAACCCATGGTGTCGTGTCGCAGCGCTTGTACCAGTTGTGGAATGTATGGCAATACGGATTCGGCTTGGTAGGAGCTTAGCGTCTTCACCGCATACTGTGCGGTAAGCGGATGTGAAGGATATTGACGTGAGAAATAAGAAAGCGCCTGTATGGGATTGACGGGCGCCCAGGAGAGCATGTAGACTAGATCAGGACTCTCGTGCAACAGGTTTTTGGTATTACAGAGGTACTTAAGCGCCTCGGGGATGTGACTGACGGCGATGGGATCAGCGCATACCAAACGTGAGACCTCCTCTTCAATCGAGTCGGCGCTCTTGATGCGCAGCGGTAGGAATACCGCCAAAGCGGGGTTGTAAGCCCAGGCGAGACGTGCGTAGTCGCGCCACAAATTCGGTTTGGAGGGGCGCGCGCGCCACTCGTTAACCTGCTCCTCACCTGCGTAGAGCAGTAAAAAGTTTTTTAAGACTTCCACCAGACATTGCTTGGCCATCACGGGCCGTATACTTACCAGGTATTGCCAGATCAGGCAGACTATTCGGGTTGTACCATGTTATGAGGAACTCCAGCTCAACTGCCAACAATTCCAAAATCAAATTGCGCTTTTTCATATAATCCTTGTCGTACGATTCCTTCTGGTAGGGTAATCGTTTCGAGCGGTTCGAACGTTTCGATAGTGTCGACGTAGAGTGCGGTATGGTGTTGTACCAGCCGCCAGTGCCACCGGTGGACATCGAGCGCGCCACATCGCCACCACTGATCAGCGACGCCGTCTCCGCATTCTGTTTCACTGAGAGCATTTGCGCCGAGGCCACCGTCGTAATATCGTATTCGCCCACCTCCGAGGTGACCAAATGTTTCTTCTCACTACGCATCGTCTGCCAGAACTTCAACAGTATCAAAATGTCATCCAACAATTGCTCCTTACTCTGATTCGGGCATGTGGGTGGACCACAGAAATAGTCCAATGCATTGCTATAGATACGTTCGCGGAGTATATTGCGCGCCAGCGAACGCGGTATTGTATTGCCTTGGAGCAGCGAGAGACCGCATTGCAAAAGCTTGAAGCGACAACCGACCGTTGACACTTGACGATTCTGTTTTGAGTTCTTTGAGATGGGCAAACAACGATGCAGCAGCAGACAAAACATTTCCACCTTGTCGCGATTACAATACTTGGCGGTGTCAACCATCTCGGAGAGCAGTTGCAGCCAAATGAGATGTGGCGCAATTTGTATGGGTTTCGAGACGAGCTTACAGCCATCGTAGGCGGCCAGCGGTATGGTTATTTCCACCTCGTCGGAGAAGAGACCCAACTTCTTTTCGAAGGTCGTCTGCCAGGCGCTGACCATCTCCTGTATGAAACAGAGTTCTAGATCTTGACGCGCCGTTAGCACCCACTGCCAGCACTCGACAGCCGTTTCCACTGCGTATTCGGTGAAGAGTTCCACTTGAGAAGTGGCTGAAAAGCGTAGGTGAAATGAGGGAGAGAAATTAAAAAATAACCATTTTCTGCCGAGAAAGAATTTTCTACGGCGCAACGAGAAAAAAATAAGCTCTTAAAACTTGTTTAATGGTCTTCCACCTATTACGGCAATTAGTTCAAGTACAAAAAAAATATATATATCCAGCGTCATATCTACTCACCCACTGCATGCAACAATTTTCGATTCACATCCGAGCAGATGATCAAGTAAGCGGTGGCGCGCCACAACGCGCCCCGATGACGCGCATCACTCTTCTCAGCGCACGCATCCCAGACGTCTTTTACCAAACGATCCGCCAAGCCGGCCTTGTCCTCCTCGCTCAACACCGAAAGTAGACCAGAAATTTCACCGGCATATTTGCTACGCAGACACAAAACTGAAACAAAGCGCGGTGTATTGCTGTTGACACAGTTGGGACGCTTGCTGATCGAGGGCAAAGCATTCGGATACAAAGTGTTGCTGCTGACCACCGAATCGAAAGCCAAAGCCAAGCCACTGTGATGTGCCAGCACCGGCGCGGGTATCTGATTGGGATACTCTTGCAAGTGGGAGCGCGTGGAGCGCGGCGCCCATTTCATAGCTTCATTTACAATGCCCTGACAACGATCGGCAAAGTCCTTGAGACGACTTTCACGCGCAGGCAGCGAGTCCATGAGCTGCAAGGTATACGGTGTGGATACTACGCGCAATGTGGGCGTCTCCTCGTTGGGATCGAGTGTCAGCGAAAATGCGAGCAATTGCAGTATGTCCAACATGCACCAGAGCACGCGTCTATTCCACAAGAGATGGGGAAATTTGTCCACCAACTGCGAGAGATACTGATCGGCGACCAGCTGAATTTGCTTGTGTATGTGATTGAAGTAGACGAGCAAGAGCATTGCTTGCGATTCCAAGACCTTCTCGCGGATTTCGTCGTGTGCGAAGAGTACATTGCGGAACTTCTCGAACACCTGATCGGCAACGCTGCGAAAAATACATGACAACAAATGAAGAACTATGGCGACGCCGTTTGCTAGAACTGTTCACTCACCACTTCACACATTGCCAAATGCCCGATTTGTCCTTTTGCAGCGCATTATCGCACAGATAACTCAATATCGGTTCCAAGCTTGGCTCCTCGGAGTTCTCCACACGCAACGTCTCCAGCCAGTAGACGCTCAAGAGATAGGTGCATTGCGCGAAGGTCAGCTTGTTGATCGAGGCCGTCACCTCGGCCGTGGGATGTTCGAGCAATAACAGTATCTGACTGCGCAACTCATTCAAACTCACCGAATCACTCTTAATCGCCGATGTATAGTTCAATTCACGCATGTCGGACTTGTGTGTCGTCTGCGAGATGAGTAATGGCGATTTGGCTGCAATCTGTTGCACTCCTTGATACCAATCGGCTGGCCAGAGGCGAGCATTTGTAAAGCCCATGACTACACAATACACCCAGAAATCCTTGAATAATTTATGCAAACGCAAGCGTGGATTCTTAATCGGCGGTAGGCGACGCACCAGCACCGCAATCACCGGTATTAGCATACCCAAATTACCGGCGCTGGAGCTAGCCTTCTGCGCGCCCGGTGTATTGTTGTCATAGGAGCGCTCGCCCTCCAGACCGATTTGCACAAAGAGTTCGAGCAGTTTGCCCAACAATTCGAGCATCTCAGCGTCGCCCTGTATATTGGCGGCAATATTGCCCAAGGCATTGACCACCGCATCCGACACGTTATTGAATTGCTTGCGATGTTCCTGATCCGAAGTGTAGGCCAGCGAGGCCGATTGCACGGTGACGCGTGAGAACATTTTCATGATCTCCTCGAAAACATGTGGCTCGCACTGTGAGATGATCATACAGCCGAGCTGATCGACGATTAGTGCATTCTGCTCTGAGGGCACTTTGCAAAAGCGTTGTATGAAGAACTGGAGAATATTCTGTGTGGTCTTCGAGGTGTCCTTCAGTGTAACCGCGACGTGGCCGAGCATTACTATGATATTGAGGCTAACCAGTGTCGATTCGCTGTGCGTGGTTGGGAGGCATAAAATAAATTTGGTTCGTAGCAAAAGAAATAGACAATTTAACGGGTTTTAGGTTTTAAAATAGACCAACACCAACACCAACGCCGCTACTTACGATTCGTGTTTCTCCGCGGTGAAGAGTCGATTTGAGAGATTAGCCACCAAAGCCGGCACACAATACTGATCCAGAGTGTGCGCCGCACGCAAAGCTATGCTCAGATTCTCAATTGCCGCATCACGTAACGCCTCGAAAGCTACCTGACCCGAACGCATGCCCGCATGCTTCTGATTATCACCGTAAATATCAACCGTCGAGCGGGACTCGCTATTCTGTACGACAATCTTGAATGGCGCCAACTTTTCTTTCTCCTTCTTTTGCAGCGCAAGCGTTTGCTGCGAGTAGGCATGCAATTTGGCCAATATTGGACTGGGATCGACGAGGAAGTCGCGTAAATACGATATGGATGTGCCAGCGATGTTGGGAAATTTCTGTGCCAATTTGCCGAGACCTTCTAGACAAACCATCAGCAGTGGCATGTGATCTAAGACGATCTTATGACTCAAGACCGAGTTGAGTTTCTGTGAAAGGCGACCGCAGAGCTTGTCAGCCTCTAAAAGAGGGAAAACGGGGTTGGAGGGTTGGTTATAAAAGAGACCAAAAATAAATATTTAAAATAAAATATAGAATTTTTTTTTTTTTAAGAAAAAGTAAAATTCAAAAAATAACGGTTTAAACAGCATTCAAAAACGAAAAAAACAGAGTCATGTCGGAAAGGTATTGCAAAAAAAGAAGAAGAAAAACAAAACAAGTTGCTGTAACTATGTCAACATCGCGAGATTCCATAATAGAGATTTGAATTAACGGTAAATATTGACGCTTACTATTATTTTAAGAAATTTTCTCGAAATTAGAATAACAAATTAATAAATTAGCAATGAAAATTTAAATTTTTTTTATTTTTTTTTTATATAAAATTTAAATATTTTTAATTTCTTTAAGGAAGTTGAAAAAAAATAATAATTTAAAAAAATTTAGCAATCCGGTATTGTGGTTATAAGTATGAACAGAATTGGGTCTGGCAACCACGCAACGCAGATTTTTGTTCGTTTTCTGATTTTCACTTTAAAAAATAGTAAGAAAACTTCAAAAATAAAAAAAATAAATAATTTAAAAATAAAGTTTAAAAGAATTCGCTTGCAAAATCTTGCCATGGAAACATAGTATTGCACTCGACTACTGTAAATTCGGCTTTTTTTTTTAAATCAATTAATAATGAGGGAGATATTAATTAGTATGTATGTATGTAGTTGAAAAATGTATTTTGCTTAATTTTCATTGACAAAAAAAAAACGTTCAGCATGCTAGGAACCGTTTGGCGGTCCGCAATAAAATAAGCGACCTTAAATAAGTTAACAACCTTTTTTCAATAAAATTTTTAAACCCAACTGCAATGAAGGTACATTGTACTCCTCATCAACTGAAAAGAATAATTCAAATTAAATACAAAAAGTTTAAAGAAATCCTCATATTACATATGTACATATATGTTTACACCAAAGTAATGCACTGAGACAGATAATCAAAAAATTTTAAAGCTTTAAGCAAGTCAAAGTTTTCTTCAACGTAAAGTAGTCCTCTACGAAAAAGACTACCCAAAGGAAAACTAAATTATGTTTTCTCTTCAAATATATGTATGTAAATTGCCTGCCCACTAATATAGGTATTAAATGTACTTACCCGTTTCGTCGCGTATGGCCCACACCAGCAGGTCTACACAGGCTGCATTTGCCATCACGTTCACCTTATATTTATTGACCACCGGTAGGCCATTCTCCTCACGTTTCTCCTTCTCCTGATCCTGTTGTTTATTAGCCAACTCTGTTTGTCCATTCAAAAAGAGACGCTTAACAAATTCCTGCACATCCTTTGTAAATGGTGTAGGCAAATCGATTTGATGTTGCAACAGCTCGCGTAGGAGTGTAACCAAAACCAAGTTCAATGTCTCCGAGAAACTCTTATAGCAATAGCCTTTGATTTGATGTAAAGCAAAAATATCACTCGCTTGCTCATCCAAATGTTCCAGCGTTTCTTTGGTGAGTAATTTTTTAGCTACAGCAAAAATGGTCTGCAAATGTTGTATGGGAAATGGTGGCACCACAAATGTTTTTTTCGACTTCACTGACGTTTCACAGGCGCGCATATTGGGAAACTGATTGAAGCTCGAACCGGTTTTGGTGAAGAAATGTGTGCGCGGATCGTAGGGCACAGAAAAGTAGGTTTGCAAATGTGGTTTGTGTTGTTTGTGCATGCCGTTAATCATTTGCAATTGACGCATGCGCAACTCATTCGAATCTTGACTCAAACTACCGGACATGGAACGCGGTATAATTGGGCGAAATTGTGTGAAGCAAGCGAGGCGTTCGCTAGAGCTGAAACTGCCACCATCGCGTGTATTCTGTTTCACCACAGGCATTTCTTCACGTGGATATATGCGACAGAGCAGCGGTGGATCCTGCATGGCATAACGGCCCATTGAACGTGCCAAACCGAAAAGTAATGGTACGGTAGCTTTGCAGAGTATGATGGGTGGTGGTGCAGAGCTGCTGTCTTTGCTGGACTTGATGATATTTGCTAAAGCGCTGAGTGTCTCTACCTGATTGAGTATGATCTCTTCGCGTAAATCTGGGCTTTTCGAAGCAATGTCGGAGAGTAAAGTGTTTAAACAGAAACTAAATTTCTCTGCTGACGGTATGCCTATATATGAAGAGATATAAATTATATTAATATGATATATTTAAGAAATGTGTGTGTGTGTGCGATTTTAGTACTAACGATCGGTTTTGCTCCACTTGGCATCATCAACCCAAACCGCCTTCGGCAAACATTTCGCTAAACGCAATAAATACGGCACAATACGCTGTTCATGTTGGCAGCCACTTTCCAGAAAATAAATACCCAAAGCTATAACCGCATCTTGCGCTTTTGCATCAAGACAGAAAACACCAGCAGCATTTTCTTGTGGGCAATAGCGGAAGAGCGATTGCACCTGAAATGGCGTAATAAAATACAACGGCAAAAAAAAGGCAATGAGTCAAAGGTGAAAAGTCGATTTTTCGCTTTTAATTGACCGTGAAAATCAATTGTTACCTTGTCCCACGGTGTAGGGTCTATGCGTGCCAGCACGCGTGCTAAGCTCTGTACGGTGCGTTGATAAGAGAACGCATCCATCGTAGCAGCGCACAACCGTTAATTGTAATTTTTGTATATTATTTTTTAATTAAATACACACAATATTTAATAATTTTCACTTTTCACTAGCGGAAAATACGTCTAGCCGATGTTGTCACAGATTACTCACTAATAAGGTGACCAGAAAAAAATAAATATGTTTAATGCAAGCACGGCAAACAAATGATTGTATTAATATGAATGCATTCAATATTTTCAAATTGTTTAAACAGATCAACAAATTTATTCAAATCAGTATTTCGATTTCTAATATAAATTTTTAAATGTATGTGCTTAGTTTGGAAAATTCGTTTATGATTTCTAATTTTTTAATTTATGGTAACTCAAATTTACTAATCGGGGAAAAAAACATTAAAGTAAATAAAATGATAAAGCTGGGGGAGGGTGTCAAAACAGCGATTGATAAGCAACAGCTGAGTGTACAGCTGCGACAACAGGGTGAGTCGAAGGAAATTTTCGTCACTGTGACGTCATTATAATTGCTACACGGCAACACAACAAACAAATTAAATTAAAATGACACACTCACTTGATTGACAACTGACAGCTGGTTTCGTACTCATATTTGACGCGTCCGAGTTTGGAGACTAATTTCTATTGTGTATAACAAGAAAAGGGGAAAAACTAGGGACGCTGAGCAAATTAAGCGCAAAAAGTATAAAACAAAGCATTTACAAGTGCTATCATGCCTGGAAATTCATGTACGTTGTGTAAAAGCAGTTGGGACAACACAATTTCAATGTTCGCGCTGCCAAGCGATAAATATTTGAGAAAAGAATGGGAAGCTGCCTGCGGCATTAAACTAGCACCCAGCTCAAGGATTTGTGCCAAGCATTTTGTGGTTAAGGATTTCGTGAAGAATAATCCCAAGCGTACCCGCTTGCAACCGGACGCAGTACCGTCGTTGAATTTGTCAATTAAGCGAAAGGAAGCTAATAACATGTTATTCAATTCAAATAACAGGTAAATAAGTGAATTATCTATTGATGGCACAAATTTTAACATAGTATATATGTATGTAGTTATAGAAAAAATCGTGCCAGCTTGGGACAATTGGTATATTTTGTTAACTTTGCGAAAATGGAACCAAAAATTTTAACTTCGAAATTTAGCACTGTGAAGCATTTGTGGGAAGACTTGGCGCAACATTTGAATGAACTGGACGGCGCCTCACGTACACCACTCAAGTGGAAAGAGGTAAGTTGAGGGAAATTAAAAGCGTGCTGCTAGAATAATCATTATTTGAACTCCTAACTACAGACCATGGCCACTTGGCGTTGTCAGCTGCGTTGTCGTGCACGCCGTGGTAAGAGCAGTGGTGTGCCCGAATTTGACGAATTCGCGCTTTACAATTTTGGACAACAATCCATGGATGAATTAAACGAAACGGGTTCGTAGTTTAGTCATAAGTATTCAAGAACTCGCTAATCAATGCTTTCTTTATTAGCTCATAACTCAACGAGCACGGAATTTGACGCGCAGGATAGCAACGACCGAAACGATGAGAACAATGACTCAATAGAAGCTGATGTAACCATAAAGGCTGAAGTCGATTACTCTGATGAGGAAGTTAGTGCTACACTTCACAACCTTCCTGGTAGTTGTGTTACCGAGGTTGATCCACAAGCGGAAGTACGCTCTTATATGAATAACGATGTATGTTTATTATTTTTTTATTAATATTAATGTTATGCCACTTACTATGCAGGCTATAACTGGTGTTGAGGACGAAATTGATATAAAACCTGATATTGATAACGAGAAAGTTCATGAAGCAACTAACTCCGGCTCGACCACAAAGATACAGACATTAGGTTTTCCGGTACATTTAAAATATTAAATTTCCTAGCAATTCACTTTTATATTTATTCTATTTTCTTATTTTAGCGCTCATCACGTTCAAAAATTTTTTTTATACCTCGACATGGTATAAATAGTGAAAACAACACTACTGAAGATTTCGCCGAGCCAAAAAATCTTAAAAGAAAAATTGATTCGGAGATTTCTGCAAAGGACGGCGCTAGTAAAGTAGTTGTCATTGGCGAATCAGCAAATTCTGCGGAAAATTTACCACAGAATTTTGATCCTGATACTAGAATAAATGGAATAAATCAATCTGTAGCTACAACAAGTACCTCTAACGAATTTCAAAACAGCCGCTCATGTGCACCCAGCAGTGCCTCTAAGGTTCTGGAGCGAGGGGAGACCCCTTTATGCTTAGATAATTTATCACAATCTGCATCTGGGTCCTCGCCTACAGCACAAATGCCTGAAAGCTCTACAACTGAGTGTAAAACAACAACGCTACAGGAAGTTTATGAAACTGTGTTGGCGAGTATACGACGGCGTGATGAGCGTGATGAACAATTTAGCAATGTTATACAAGAGTTAGCGGGTGCTGTAACGAGAATGGCAGATAATATCAAACAACTAGAGGAGGTGCTAACATTTTGTGCGAACAATTAATACAACGAGTGACTTATTTTATTTTAATCTCATTACCATTAAGCTTTAAGGTTCATATATATATGAAATTAGTGAAAATTTTGTTAGTTCAAATAAATTAAACTGTTTCATTTAAATTTCGTATATAAAGTTGTCTGCTTTCGCAACCATTCACGAACTGCGGTGCGCTTTGCACTACCTCCGATTCTGATTTGCGTGTTACATGCTCCTCGCTCGCCGTATTCAACTCGCTTTCATCCAATTTTATGCTATAACCTCTCTTCTGCAGTATGTTATGCAAAATGCTACAAGCGTAAATGATATTCGCGCCCCGTTCGTGCGTATAATAAAGCTTACTCCCCTTGGAGAGACATTTAAATCGTGTTCTTAGCAAACCAAATGTGTGTCTAATTGTATTATGAGCATTGCTATGTCTCTCATTATATGATGCATCCGCACGGTTTTTAATTTCCTGCAGCGGCGTGAGCAGCCATGGTTCTAGTGGATACGTGTCATCGCCCAACAGGAAGGTATTTTCAGCAGCTTGTTTGTATTGTACACTTAAAAACTCGCGCGCCGGTGTGCTATGCCAAATTGTTGAATTTTTTACAGAGCCCGGCGAACGGGCATTCAGCGATGTAAATAAGAAACGGTGATCACAAATCTATGAATTAATGTGAAGTTCATATATATTTACTCTCTTTGATTTAGCAACACTTACGCCCTCCACTTTTATACTATTCTTATTAAATTCATTGGCGTACGCTGAGGCGTTCCCTGCCTTTTCTGTCGGCGACAACAGATTAATATGTGCTGTGCCAATCACACCGACAATATTTTCGAGACCGAACTTTTCTTTAAACCTGTAAGAGTGGAAAACGCATTTTTATAACCATTATACTTTCTACTTTGCTAGCCTAAAGCCTTACCCTTCCTTCACCATTCGCTGTTCCTCGCTGGTGTCTGGAAAACATATTTCGCCACAAAATTGACTTATCAACAAATCAGTTACATTGGTCAAGGCACGGGACACTGTTGGTTGACTTACATTCAGTATATCATCGTCGCCCACACGCTTTTGAATTCTACCCGTACCATAGAAGTTTAAAGCAGCTAAAAGCCTTATTGTAAAGGATAAACCCGTGTTCTGTTTGTCGTGCGGTAGCAAATTTTCGATTAAAGACCGACAAATAAATTTTGGCACAACAAACTGCCTTTCGAAATCCTCATTCGACATGCTGAAAGGATCACTGTGGTCACGCAGCCGTCTCAGTTGAGCGGGATTGATGGTTTCCTCATGCATAAGCAGTAGAAGTAACAGCAGTTCCTCTTCCATATTATAAATATTTGTTTCTTTCCTTAACTTCAAATTTGTAGTCAAAAATTGTTTGTTTACATCGTAGTTCTCTTGTTTAATACATTTCTTTAATTACCATTCTGTTTAACAACAAATAAAGACAGGGTGCTATCATTTCAGATTTCTATTATTAAGGTGCTTTCAGACTGAAATACATAGTGCTGTTGCCTGGCAAATAGAATATTTCGAAAGCTTTTTCGAAATTTTGTTTTTTCAAAGCGAATTGCGAAAAAAGGTGCGGCGTTTGACAGCACCTCTATTTTTATAATTAATGACATACGTCATAGTTTAAAGAGATGAAAACAATCTGCATATATTTGAGTTGTTAAATTTCGCAAAGAAAAGAAGCTTCTTAAATTGAAAATCCTTCAAAGTCAGTAATGTCTGCTCTGGCGCAATCAAGCTTGTTGTCAATCGTTGGCAAATCTGTCTGACTGTGCAGAAATTTTATTCAGTGCCCACAGCCCATGGAATGTTCGCGAACTTTTGGTAGACGGCTTTTCACTCTGCACCCCTCGTTTGAAAAAAATTATAATAAACTCTCGGAATCTCATCACCACGTATAGCAGACAAAGAGCATGAGTTGCATCACGATACCCCTGTAATACACGTTAAAACTTAACGAAAGCCTGATATGAGCGAAAACGTGACATACTTAGACCTCTCCGGGTGAATTCAGCACACAAAAACATTTAACTAATAAATAATAATGTGTATATATTTGTATCTTTATTAATTTTACAGTTTGCACAGTGACTCATAATTTCGGACCATTTTGTTATTATGAATTTTCAATACTCATTTCGTTACATAATTGTTTTTTTTTTGGAGCTAAACAATCAAACACTTATAAGTTCAACTGAAAATTTTTTGTTCATTATTTTTAGTATATAATAAAGAAATTTGTCATATTACAGTATCTTTTTATTATGGAATGTGGGTTATTGAGGAAAAATGTTTGGTTTGAAAAACACATAGACTTATTTTCTTTTCAAAAAATTCTTCCTAAGTGATTTTGTGTTTTTTTTTATTGAAGATAATGATAAACGGAAGATGGAAGCTTAATGGTTTGCTGGCATTGCGCACATTTTTAAGCTTGACCATAATTTAAACCCAAAATAGCAGATTTTATGATATTTAACGAATTTTTTATGGAATTTACATACGCAAACTTCTTTGTATATCTTGCACATGTTTTTAATCTAGCACACTGTATATAGAATTTAAATTTGACTCTAAACAATTTATATATATTTCATTTGATTAAATGACAATTAATATTTTTTCAATAATGTATGCTATAACATGTTTGATATTGTTATTTGTTTTTTTTTGTTTTTTGTCTGTCACTACAACGTTTATACTGGTAAGTTTGGTTAGAAAGTAGAAAGTAGGAAGCAGGAAAGGAATAGCAAATCTCTGCTCATATGAAATGTCATTGTGTTTCCTTTGTTTTTGTTTATATTTTTTTTATGTTTTTGTTTTATATGTATGTCTGTTTACGCCTTTATTAGTCTCGGTTGTGTTTTGATGTTTGAAAGAATTTGCGCTGGAAGGTTTAGCTAATAACACATTTAAATGCCTAATAACTCACTTAATTTAATTATTTTACTCAGGGATTTGTTGGGACTCGCACTTTCTTCTTCTTTTTTGCATCACGCACATATTTTATTTTACCCAATGCTAGTTTTACCAAGTTTACGCCACTACTTTCTATGCTTTACATAGAAATATTGTGTATGTTAATATTTGTATGTATGAATGCATGCATGTACTATGTGTATAGTAACATTCTTAGTATTTTCACTTATTATTTTTCTAATTGAATCGTTTTACCTGCGTTCTGCCTGTATTTTTATGCATGTCTTACACGTTCTTCAGATTTTTACTAAAAATATTTTTGCATTTTTGTAACTGTCGTGTACGAACTTCCGCTATACGGCACAAGCATTGCCAACTGCATGTTGTTACCGGCCGATGGCGTACGTCAAGTAATGCGTTGCCAATTGGGAATAATTTCAGCATGAGTGTTGTTTTTTAAATTGTAGTGTGTGCATGTTTGTCATGGATTTCCCTTTATTTATTTATTTTGTTATTATTATTTACTGTTCAACTTTAATAATTTACGTACATTTCTACCATAAGTTACTCGTACATATTTCTCTGCCTGATATTTCATTACATCTTGTAAAGCGTGTGTATATGTGTGTATGTGTTTGTATTTAACTAAATTTTCTATAGAAATTTGCACGCAGTTAGCGTATACTCGTTTACTTTGCTGCATTGTTTGACAGTTTGTTACTAATACATACATATGTACTTAATGTATTTTTAATTTTATTTTTGTTACTCATTTTTCTAATATGCAAATGGATTCTCTAGTTACCACTCTTTACTACTATGTGACGATTTTTTTTTCTATTTTTATGCATTTACTTATTTAATTTTTTGTGTGTAATTAAATATTATGTTTCTTATACTTTGTTGCTGTTTAGACTTGTAGGTCTGTATACCTTGTTGACTTTGTAATCCCTAAAACGAGCTTAAAACTAATTTCTTCATTTAGTTTTTTTGTTCAGTTAATGGTCAGTTGATGTGTCAGCTGTCAAAGTTTGTATTATTTCTTTAATTGTTTGCTAACATTATTATTATTATTTTTTTCATTTATGTGTTTTTAATTTAATATACTTTGATTTTTTTTTGTTAGCATATTCTTTTTCTTCTTTAAATTGACGAGACAATAGTCTCTTACACAAATTCCATTATTTTCGCTAATATTTTGTTGACACTATTTATTTTTTACCTTTTGTCATTCATTTGTCATTCGGTTGTCGGCTACACAATAATTACTATATATGTATGTATATGTATGTATTTTCTGCTATTAATTGCTTTGGATATATTTGTTTGCTGTATATATGTATGCACGAGTATGTGGTAAGTCAGTTGTATAAACATTTTTTTTTTTGATGATAAGTGTTTTATAATTATTTTCTGATAACATATTGTTTAGTTGTTTGAGTTCATGGAGCCTTAAGGCTCATCTAAAATTTTGTGGTGACAGCAAGTCTAAACTAAATGTTGGAAAAAAGTTTAAAATATTAGGGAAAAGATTAGAAATAAATTGTATGTATCAAAAAAAAAAAAAAAAAAAAAAATTAAAAAATTAAAAAAAAATTGTATATATACAAATATTAGAATTAACATATGTATTGAAAAAAATTATATTTATGTCTGCTTGTATGCAAGTAAGTTTCGAAGTTTAGAACATGAGATTGCCAAACGAACTTTCTAATTAATTCTTTAACTTGGAGTAATTTGTACAATTACTTCGATTTTAAATTAAAATTAAAAAAAATTGATAATGAAATTAAAAAACTTTTTCTAACTTTATTTACAATTTTTTTTTTCAGAAGTTTACACATTTGTTGAATATTTTTAAAAATTGTAAAAATATAAAAAAGATGTTTCAAAAATTGGAACAAAAATTCCGTCAGCATTATTTCTTACTTCGTTTTGTTCTGCCTCGTTTGTATTAGAATAAAGCCTGCCTGTACAACATTATGTATAATGTATTATATAATAATTAATGTAGATTCTCTGCCCGACGTGAAATAGAAATAAAACTTGGAACCAAATTTTTTTGAATTTGCAAATCATAAATCAAAATTTTTTATTTACCATTTTTTGAAGTAAATATTATAAATGAATAAATTAAATGAAACAAAAAATCAAATTACTTTTATTTATGCTTTGCTCTATTTTTTTGTATTCATTGCGCACATTTATTTTTAATAACTAATTATATTTATATGTTTACGTGTTTTACGCTTTTTTGTAATTGTATTGTGCGTGTTCGTGTGTTTGTTTGTATGTATGTATGTTGGTATGTGCATGTGTATTTGGTACAATGTATTTAGAATTTGTTAGTTTAGTTTTAGTAAAATTTATTATATATATTTTTTTTATGCCTACAAATATTTACAAAATAATAATTATTATGCATACATTTGTATATAATAAATTGTAATACAAATGTACGTATGTAGTTGTTTTTAAATTATTAATAGACAAAATTAAATACAATTTGTTAAAATTGTTTTATGCGGCTATTTTTATTTATAATAAACAATAATTAAATTATCGGTTTGGTGAAATTTCATTTCCATAAGAAGAAGAAAAAACAAGAAAATTAATAATAATAATAATAATAATAATATTATAAACAAATTAATTAAGCACTTAATTAAATTAATTATTTTTCATTAAACTTAAATTTAAATTCAAATATGAAATTATAACTATTTGAAAACGCACAGTTATTTATATGTATTATATATGCATTAACGAGTATATATGTATGTATGTTTGGTGTAAATATATTTAAGTGTAAGTAGTATATTTAATTGTCATAGCTGAAAGAGTGTTGAAATATTTTATATTTAGCACTTAAGTCGCATTAAGAGCGTTTAATTTTATATATAATTAATTTGTTGTTTTTTTTTTTTTTTAAAGAAGCTATTAAACTTAAAATTAGTTGTGTAAAATTAAATTATTTCTAATTTAACATATTTATTCATTTATGCAGTTATACATATGTATGTAGGTTTTTTTTTTTTAATTATAATTGTAATAAAATACAAATGAACAGCCGCGTATATATGTATAATGCATACAAGTGTATTTAGTTTTGTATGTATGTTTGTATGTATGTATGTATATATAAGTTAAAAAATATAATTAATTAAAAGATAAAATTAAGACAATGTTTTTTTTTAATGAGAAAAACATAATTAAATTACGTGCCGGCAGTTTTTAGGCATAATTTTCATTTTTCGCAGCAGTTTTCCCATAAAAAAAATGAATGCAAAGACAGGAAAAAATAGTTTTTAAGTTGAGCGAAAATGCAAACACTTAACGGTTAAACTTTGGAAAAAATGCTTCTAAATAAAAAAAAATAAAAAAAAAATAAAAAAAAAAACAAATAGAAATTTTTTTGTGTATTAGCTTCGCGTAAATATTTTGTTTATTTTTTTTTTTAATTTTTTTAGAAAGATTTTTAATGTATAACATTTACGTGTTTGCATTTTCTTCCGGTAAAATATTTTTTTAAAATCAACATTTCATTCCAGACTTGCCGTTTTGTGCACCACACAGTGTTAAGTTGAGACTATGTATGTATGTATGTATGTATGTATGAACATATGCATGCATTTACGTACTCCTAATTTACTGTTGTAAAAATATGTTTTTTTCTTGCCGTAATAGTTGTGTGTCTACATACATACTTCTTTTGATACTTTTGGTTTGCTAATGATTTTTTTTTTAATTTACTTGTTTTTGTTATTTATTTGGTCTTTAGTTTTTTATGTCAGCTTAAAATTTTGATTCTCAAATTTATTGTTTGCAGAAAATTTAAAAAAAAAAAATATTTAAATATGTTTTAATTTACAAAAAACAAGGTAAATAAATATTTAATTTCATTAAAAAATTTAAATATTTGAAACATTTTTAGTAAAATAATTTAAAGATAATTTTGAATAAAAACTGAATAATGTGTATTTATTATATTTATAAAAAGAAATTTGAAAAAATATTTTGAAAACAAATCAAAACGTAAAAAGGAAATATAAAAAAAAATTTCGGTTAAAAAAATTTTCGATAAAAAAAATTCTTGATAAAAAATTTCCGTAAAAAAAATTTCGATCAAAAAAAATTAATTAAAATTATACTGTTTAGTAAAAATTTAAAAATAAACATAATGGAGTGCTTGCTATAAACAAATTTTGCCATCATGTTTCTTTTCGATACCCTAACAATAATAAAAAAAATAATAAAAATAAAAAAGTATAACAGCATTTACTTTTTGTTAAATAAGAGATTAAATAACAAAAAGAAAAATATATAACGCTGAGGAAAAAACTTTTCAAATAAATTCTTGATTTGAAATTCAAAATAAGAATTTAAAAATTTTTTCAAATCATATAAATAATTATTTTTTTTTAACAAAAACAATAAACAAAAATGTTTGTTAACATTTGAAGTCATGAAAAGAAATGTTCGATTTAAATTCAAAATTAGTTTTTGTCATCTGCACTATGACTGTTTGGCTTTTTACCTTTTACTAAATACCAAGTCTACTATTTTTTTTGCGTTAATTGCAGTTTTCATAATTTTTTTAAATGTAGTATTTTTTTTCTAAGTCCGTTAGCTTCCTTGTTTGTGTTTTTCATATTTTCATTGTTGTACCTGTAATTATAATATATTATAGTTACATATTTCACTAGGATGTTTTGTTTTTGTTTTCATTTAATTTGTTTTTATGGACCTCTGCTGCCCTGAATATGCCTAAATGAGTTTCGTATGCGTATTTGACTTGTTTTTTGGTTAAATTTCTCATGCCCTCCGCTAAACATTATCGCTTACATATAATTGTTTTTGTTATATAATTTTTTGTAGTTGTTGTTTTTTGCACATATGCACTTAGAATAATATTTTTTCATTTTTTAAATTCATTTACACACAAACATTTTTTTTTTTTTTTTTGTGAATTAATAAGGAAAACAAGCAAACAATTAAACATACATACATATTTCAAATACATAGTGTGTGTATATATGTAGCTATAGTATTTTTTTTTTATAAGAAACATGAAAATAAAGTTAATACAACTGGAAAGTTTAGGCAAAAACGCCGAAAAAAGCATCGAGGATTAGACTTACAAGCAAATATGCTGTACATAAATATATGTATGTACCTATGTACAAGAATTTTCGAAAATGTGCAGCAAACACACAGTTTTATAAATGCCTGTATACACTTTAGATAAAAAATAAGTCACTTAAAATAAAATAATGCAAAAACAAAACAAAACAAAAAATAATGGTTTAAAGGACTTAAATCGTTCCTTTTAACATTTTTTTTTTTTTTGAAAATAATTTCTATTCAACACATTTCAATGTGCAATTGTGTGTCGCGCATGCGCTTTTGTAGCACCTTTGATGCCAACAGCGAAATGCCTTCATTTTCAGCCATAAAAAATAGACTTTCTCTCAACTTTTTTCCACTCCATTTCTCTATTTCCGTGCACGATTCGGTTCATAATGGAAATTTAGACATGACTCCAGCGTTTTTGTGTTTTTGTTTTTGGCCGGCTGCTTTGCCACTCGGTCGCTTAACCGTTCACCACAATGTAGTCCTGTTTGTTGGGCATCTTCAGCAGTCGCCTCGTGCGAAACTCGTAGGCGCGCCGGCAGAACATAACAAGCTCGGGATTGGTATTGTCAGGCACGGTGCGTATACTATAACAACTGGAACGTTTCGGCACAATGGAGACTTCCTCCTCAATGTCCTCTTCGGCGGCACGTAGACGACGGCGGTATCTGGAAGAGAATAACCAATAAAATAACGGCATATGACTATGTAAAGTGATAAAGAACAAATTTAAGTAATCCCGAAATTCCCAAAATATAAAAACGAATTTCGAAATTTCAGTTCGAGTTGCTGCTGCTCCTTAACTCTCACCCACCTGCAGTATTCGCTGAAAGTGAGCACGTAGCACTTATCTTCAATGCAGGCAACTGAGTTGTGATCACGATGCCGCGACGCATACACTTCGTCGGGACTATCGTTAGGCTGGCGACCCTGCTCGGTGTGCTCAGGTCTGTAGTACCATAATAAGGACATCATCATTTCACCTAAAAAAAAAACAAAAAAGTTAAATGAAATATCGTTAAATGCATTGCAATAATCGTTGAGAGTACAAATTCGACGCTCACCATCTTCGGGATTCTCCCACAAATGCGCCACCTTGGCCACATACGGCAGATCATTATCCTCATTCGCCTTGAGCAGCACACAGTCACGTGTGCGTATTATGTCACCCTCCGAGTGGCGCATGGCGGGATAACAGGTGCGTATGACTAGCGGATCGTCGCTCTGCAGAGTAAGAAAGGAAATGTATGAGAAATGTGCTCGATTATTACTGCGCTGCAGCACTTACATTGAGGAAAACTGCGCCCTGGAACGGTTCGCCCTCCCACGTCCAACCATTATTCCACTTGGGCACGACATCGCCACGCGTTGCAGGCGGCAGGCGATCGTCTACTTCGAATGAGACCGTGGAATGTTTCGCTTTTTGACGCTTTCGACTGCCGAATTTTGAACGTGAACGTGTGCGCTTCGTGCCGTGGTGTGGTTGGCAGACAATACGCGGCATGGGCGGCACGGGTGGCAGGAAAACTTGTACATTGGAATGTTTGTCACTTGACTCAGTGTTGACTTTTTGTAACGCTAAGTTCTCATGCTCTTCTTCAGGTGCCTCATCATCCACCATTTGCGCTACGCTCTCGACCACTGCGCTCTCTTCTGCTGCACTGCACTTCTCATAAATGTTATTGTTCGTCTCCAATGCATGTTGCTCTGTTGCCTCTGGTAGTGGCGCTGAAGTCGTTGGCTCGAAAGTGTGCGCGCTATAGTCACTATCGGACAGTTGCGATTTCTTCTTATTCACCTTTTGCTTCTTCGGCTTCTTCGTCTTGGACGTTTTCCGTTTAGTCGGTGAACGTTTTGACTTGTTGCTCGTCGACTTCTTGTTGGCGCTGCTGGCGTTGCGTGTAGGCTCAGCGAGCGTCGGTGATATGCACGCGGCGTATGCCGTTTCTGCGCTCTGTTCCGCCAAATCCAGCGATGTCTTAATCTCCACTTCACACGTGCCCAAAGTACGTCCTGTTAGTTCTGAGGTAGTTTTCGTGACACGCGCTGCTAACGTCGCTGCCGCGAGTGTGTAGTCAACATCAGTTATTTCGGACCCAACAGCTGCTGTCGCTTTAATCGGTTTCTTCGTCTCCGACTTAGAGCGCTTCTCGACGCTCGCTTTCTTGTCTTTCTTCTGTTTGCGTCCCGTTGTTGTCGTATCCAAAGTTTGTTCTTCCGAAGCGTCAATCGCATTACAGTTGGCGGCGTAGGGGTTGAGCGCGCCACTACAGCGTGACGTTTCAGGTTCGGAAAAGTAACCCCGCGCCACTGAGTCAATAGTTTCGATCAGGTGTAATGGTATACATGTTTTGCGCGGTGTCTTGCCGCGTTTGGGTGATGGTTTTGGCGTTACTCTAAGCGTGTTTAGGCTGCTGCTACTGTTGCTGTTGCTGTTACTGCTGCTTTCGGTCAGCAGCATGCGCATGGTTGGCACATCCGTTTGCGTCATTTCGCTGAATTCGCTCTCCGTTTGATCTGGTTCTTCAACCAGATCGACAATTTCATCGGCGCTGGGCTCGTTTTCTTCCTGCTTTATGCTACAGGCAGCGATCGATTTCTTCAACAGCTTCCTGCGCAGCATGCGTTCCTGCTTGGCGGCAGCACGTCGCTTTTCCAACACCTCTTGCTTGCGTCGCTCAAGCGCTTGCAGTTTCTTCTTGCGCAATTTCAGTTGTTTCTTCTGTTGGTCGGTCAGCACCAATTGACGACGCCGTATCGTGCCAGTGACGCCTGCAATTTTACCGGCCTGCCTTAATTGCAATTTACTGTAGCGGCCACGTTTGTCGAGCTTTCGACCACTCAGGCACAAGTAGGTGCGTGGTTCGGCTTGCTTAATTAGGCTTTTATAGCCGTTTGGCGCTGACTTCTTGCACTGCAGTTGTGCCTTGGGTAAGTTAAGTATCTTGAGGCGTGCCTTGTGACCGCTGCCCGACGTAGAGGTGGCCGGACTATGACAGAGATCGAGCACATCATCGTCTGAGGTCGTAGAGAGGTCTATGTCACATTGTATGACTGGCGGCTGCTGCCAGCTGGGTAAAAGGCGCATGCGACCTGTAGGGTGGTGAAAGCGAAAGTGGAAATATATTTAGAACTGCCTCCCATTTTAATATATACAAAGTACAACTTACCTAATGGTTTCAAAGTCGATGTTTCCATGACATCTGTCAATACCGACGCCGCGGTCACATCTTCGCCAGTCCATGACAGTGGCTCAGCCTTGATAAGCTTCAGTTCAGCCTTTTCACTGGGTTTCTCGAGGTCATTGCTAGACTCTTGCTGTTGTTGGAGCTGTAACACAGCATTCAACAGGGGTTCATCATCTTCCAGCTTAATTTTCTCCGCTTTAATTTCTGTTTTCAGCAGAAAAGGAGCTTCATTTGGAGACTGTATTGCCGTGCTTGGCGGACATGACTCGTTTATAGACGCTGGCACTTGTGGTGAGGGACTTGGTGTTATGGTGGTCAGCAGCTGTTCGGGCTGTAGCGCAACCAACTGTGCAGAGGCTTGCTGTACGGGCTGTTGCGCGAGCTGCGGCGGAATCTGTAGCGGCGGCTGTGGCTGCTGCGGTAGTGTGCGCACGTGTATCATTGGTGTCGAATGCGCCTGGGCGCTGTTATGGGCGTGTGTTGCTACATTTGCCGCCGCTCCGGCGTACACCATTTCACGCGCCATCGTCTTGCCAATGCGCGCCTTGCGGCCTAATAGCGGCAACGTGGTAGAGTTGCTGACGGCTACGGTATTGACATTGCCGTTGCTGTTGTTGGTGTTGTTGCTACTGTTTGTTAAACCGGGCGTCGGCGTTGTAGGTAGCGGGGTCTCCGTTGCGTTTGTCAAGTCGAAGGCCTCCACTATTGTCGGCGGCGCAAGGTTGCTCTGCGCACCGCGCGCGTAAAGCGGCTTCGGCTGCTGTTTATTGTTTTCTGTCACTGCCATTTTGTGGTCACTTTGGTTACTGCGTAAGAGCAGTTTCGCGTTAGCCTCTTCAAGTGCCGACGATGACAACTCGTGTTCCGTTAGCGTGTCTAATAGCTTTTCGTCGTTGGTCGTGTAGCTCTCGGGTGGCGTTGGTGGCTGTACCACGCTCTCCTCATATTGACTCTTGTTATCTGAGTCCTCCAATTTCAACTCGGACTTGACCGACTGCAGGAGATCCAAATGCTGTTGCGTCTGTTGTTTGTCGAAGTGCAGCAGATCGTCGAGTTGTGTTGGGGTGGCCGACGCCAGCGCAATGGCGGTTGCTGTCACTGGTGCGTTGCCGTTGGTTGCTGTCGATGTTAGTTGTGTTGTTGTTGCCGTCATCGTCGTCGATTTTTTAACTGGGCCTCTACTGGTAGTCAATGAATTGTTGTTGGTCGAGCTGTTGCTGTTGCTGCTGTTCCGGCTGCTCAGGCTGTTGTTCGTCATATTCGAACTGCTGCTGCTGCTGCTGCTGTTGTTGTTGTTGCTGCTGCTGCGGTTGCTGTTGTTCATTTCCCTGCTGTTGCTGCTGCTGCCATTCATCAACGTATTGCTGCTGCTCAAATGATGCATCGCTGAACAACTGTTGTGAGTGTTGTTGTTGTTGTTGTTCGTGCTGTTGTTGCTGTTGCTGCTGCTGCCGTTGTTGCTACCAATATGAGGCCCAGTATGGACGTTTTTTGGACACGATTGTTGCATTGGACACGGACACTGTGGTGGATATTCTGCAAGAGAGAGAATGAAGAAAACAAAACCCGCCTTCATTAATTTGTTCCTAACGCATCGGGCGTGAAGATTTCATACACATATACAGGCATATTTATTCTCAAAACCCCACCCACTAAACCCCACAATCTACTTATTAGCTGAGAACCATACTTTTCCTTACCCATATATGGTCCCTGTATGCTGCGCGTGTAACACTGCCCCGCAGCGCCACCTCCCGGGCTATAACTAGTATAATAGCCCGGTGGACCCGGATAGTGTTCGAGGTGCTGTGCGTGTGCTGCCGGTCCAGCCGGCACAAGTTGTGTTCCGGGGGGCGGTGCAGTTGGTGGTGGTCCCTGTACGGACGTTGGCGGTGGTGGTCCAACTGCTGCTGCTGCACCATTCGCGGCCGCCACTGATGATGGTGGTGGTGGTGGCGGTCCCTGTTCGTACAGTTCGGCTGGTGGTGGCGGATGACCCGGTTGATAGTAAGGATAGCGTCGGTATGTGGAAGGTGGTGGTGGTGGTGGCGGTCCCTGTTCGTACAGTTCGGCTGGTGGTGGCGGATGACCCGGTTGATAGTAAGGATAGCGTCGGTATGTGGAAGGTGGTGGTGGTGGCGGACCCGCGCTCTGATAGACTTTGGTGGAAAAGTAGGGTTGATATGTGGGCGGTGAATAGCACACCGCTTCCACCGGATATGGTGTACAATAGTTGGCCGGATACGCAGTCGAGTAGTGCATCTGCGCATGCATCGAGCGTGGATATGGTGAGCTCTGATGTGCGGCGGCGGCCGCAGCAGCAGCAGCAGCGGCAGCAGCGGCGGCAGCCTGTTGGTGTAGCTGTTGTTGATGCTGCTGGTGCTGCACCTGCTGTTGCTGAGTGGGGGGCGCACCACTATGGGCCACCGGCGGATAACGGAAGGGTGTCAAATCTCCACCTGTAATAAGCACATCACCCTCTGCGCTTTCGGCGGTTGTAGCCGATGATGGTGGTGGCTGCTGTTGGCCGGCTGCGACAAGCTCCGGATCGGAGCTAAGCGGCGCAGGTATTTGTTGTGATTTTTTGATAGAAGCAGAAGCGGAGGCGGCGGCACCTGTCGGCAGAAGTGGCACATTAGGAGGCGGCGGTGGTGGAGCGGCTACTGGTGGTAGTACGTGTGGTGAGATCAATGGACCGGCAGGTTGGTAATAGCCTAAAAAGAAAGAGGAAAGCAAAATAAGTCATTTGTATGAAAGAAAAGTAGAAATTTTATTAAAATCATTTAATAGGTCGATTGACTTGAGATCTAAACCTAAGAGAGAGTTTCATATGCCAAAAACTCTGCAAAACATCATCCCGAGAGCATCGGCTAAGCTGGGGCTTGACGCCGGTGCCAATTCAAAAGGTCTTGGCACTCATTAAGTTCTCTTCTGAGCTTGTCAGCTATACTAAGCAGTCAGAGTGAATACTTTTTTGTGTTATCTTTTTGCGAATCCAACCCGCCAAGCAAGAAATTGTATAAAAATCTCGAAAAAAAACGAAAAAAAATAATAAAAACAACTTCAACGCACATTTTATCGTTTTACAGTTGCAGCAACGGCATTTGTTGCTGCTTTTCTTTTGCTTACATGCAGTTGAAAACGTGTTTTTGTTGTTGCTGCCGAGCTGTGTAGCAGTCGTAAGAAAAAATCTTACGTAAAAAGCGCAAATCGCATGCCGTCGTCACCGCCGTTGCTGCTATTGACAGCGTGAGCGCTTTCATTGGCCAGTGCCACTAGAGCACAGAGTTGTTCGGTTAGTTAACTGGACAGTTGGCGCAGCGAGCGATTTTCTTAAAGCCTTTGTTAGTAGTTGTTTTTTTATTTTTCTATTACTTGTTTGATTTTATTTTTTTTTATTTTATTTTTTTTTGTTTTATTTTTTTTCTTATTTGCTTTTCTTTGTCTTTTAATATTGTTTTTTGGCTGGATTTCTTTTTCATTTTTCTTCATTTATTTTTTATTTTATTTACTTTGTTATTTATATATATGTATTCCTTTATTTTCTTTTATGTTTTTTATTACTTTTTATTTTTATTTTGCTTATAACTGCCGCGAATTGCTGGTTGCAACTTCACATTTAGCCAAACCGGCAGCTAAAAGCAACTGAAAACATGTCGCGCCAGTGAACGTGCGGCAAGCAAAGCAACAACAAAGCTGAAATGCTTAACAAAGCTATAAATTTAAATGTGAAAATTTCCTAGTTACATTTTTTAGTTTTAGTTCGCTTTCCATCTCTTTTACTTTGTTGCTGTATGTATGTGTTGTTGTGGAAATTTGACTTTTGACTTTTTCCTCTCCGAATGGCAAAAGGTTAGTGAGGCATTTGACAAGCAAAAAGTGGGAAAATCAATTTTCGCTTGTGAAAACGGTGTAACGAGCGAAAAGTACAATAATAGGTGAGGTATTTGTGAACATTGTTGTAAAATTATTGCATTTCAAATATAAATTTAATTTCCGATTTTGAAAGTCTCAAATACTTAGATCCGACGCACAAGATACAGCGTGCACATGTGCGTTTGTTATCGATTTTTTGATAATTCATAAAATAATAAAGTTGCAATTTCGTCAATTTGTATGTTTCTTAATCATTTATGTTTATTAAAAGTTGCTTAAACAAGAAAAACACACGCAATTGCGCTTCCGAATCCGTTAGCGCAACACCTGTTGTTAACTGAAAGAAAATAGCCACCGGAATGGTAGCCAACATTGCTTTTCCATTAAGCCAGTGTTGGGACTTTATGCACGTGAGACAGTGTTGGAAAAATGAGGGCTCTTTGCAAACATTTTTTTTTAGTAATTTAAATTTAATTTTTGACAAATTGAAACAGTTGTATTTGTTTTATATAAAACATGCGCTTGTTCCTTCGCCATAAATGCATATGCTAAGTATTTATATGTACGTATGTATATTATATATGACCGTTTTGGTCTGTAATAAGTGTTCATCTTATCAAAATTACATTAAGTAGCAATTTCTTTGATAATAATAATAAATAATATATACCTAAGAACAAAATAATAAATACCTAAAGCAACTATATTTAGTTGTACATGCCGACAATTGTCAATAACAGCCAATTAGAATGCTAAAAATCAATTGAAATTTCTATTTACGCTCATTATCTTCACATTACTCAATAAATTACACAGTTTTACTTCATAAACGTAATCTAAACTGATTTCAATTACCACACTTTCATGTTAAACACTTATAAATTGTCGTGACAACTATTATTTGCCAAGTATATGACAAGTATGTCTTGTTCTAATACACTTATAATGACAGTTTTTTGTGTAAATAGTACACCTAACAGTGACAGAAGGCATACACTAACCCTTGAGAGTGTGAGAATTAATTATTTAACACATACAATACACGCACACATGCACGCACAAATGTTAGTAACACGTTGCTGTAATTATAAATTTATATCCTGTCACTTGCAGCACACGATTATGCAAGCTTTTTTTGTTTTGTTTTGTCGTTTAAATATTCACACTTACCACAAAGCAAGCATTAATTTCACACGCTGTCATTGTGGTTGGTTTGTTTGTTTGTTTGTTTGTTGTACGCCGCGCGCTACCTACATCCCCACCCAACACTTGTACATCACTAATTTCCCCACACTCCCTCCTCCCCGGACAGCGCGTCGATACTATATTGATGAGACTAAAAGTTGAATCACTCATTTGCATTTTACCTGGCTGATGAACAATACTACAGTTGCTTGAGCGCAGTCACAGTCCTGCTTACATTTATACATACATACGAGTATACGTGTATGTATGTAAGAGAATGCAGAGTGAATGGGCAATAATACGGGCTAATCAACTGGTGTGTCTGTCAATCAATATCGCGTATAAATTTCAAATGAAATATCGTATGTGTGGTGTGTGTATATATGTATGTATGCGTTTAATGTGACACATCACGAATTTCGTGATGTCGTTCTTATAATCTGCGGCGAACAAAACAGTCGCATTGTATGTCAAGTTGGTGTTTAATAAAATGCGCGGGGTTAATACATATCTTTGTATATACATATGTATTTGTATGCATAAATGCGTTTCAGCTGTTTGTGGCGTGTGGAGGTGGAGAGAATATGAATGATTGCGCTGATTTATAAAACAATACATGTACATATGTATGTATGTAATTTCCATAGAAAAACAGCTAGAATTCGGTATTTCCACAAAGACGAGCCGTTGCGTTGGATTTAGAAAGAAGCAAACCGATTTTATTCCGAAAGGAAATTTCAGATAAATCTATGTACATAGATTGTGTGATTAATTTATGCGCAGCAGAAATTATCATACAAAAATATATAAAACGTATATTCAAATACTTATGTGATCAAAAAATACGCTTGCATAGAATTATATCGATAACAATAGTTGATGTGTACGCAGCTTAAGGTTGGTGTTGTGACAACCAATGACATCATATGTCAATAACGGAAAAGTGGCATAGGAAATTTTGCTCAAAATGAGGAATTGCCGCCTCGTGTGTGATAGGTGCGAAAACACATAATAAAATAACACCTAAAAATAAATTAAGTGAAAATGTGTGATAAAAAAATAAATCAAAACAAAGTTGTCAACAAATTATATCGAATGGTTCTGTGGCGAAAATAAGCGCAAAAAACGACTTGATAAGGTGGTAATTTCGGCTTAAACTGTTTGCGAGCATGAGCGCAATAAAAAACAACCCTCTGAAGCAAGCGTTTCAAGCAACAAATTGTTAGGCAGACAGGGTAGTCATTAAATTTGCCAAAGGGCTTTGCGAGCAAGTCGAATGACATGTCAATATCAATAAAGCTTGTGGTGTTGTGGTGGTGCTGCGTGTGTGCCCGTGCAGCGACGTATGGGTACTAATGCTTTTTGAGCAATGTGCATGCAGCCAGAGCGATTGAATTGTATTGACAATAAAAATCACAACATACTTAAATGGCAATAAAATTGCGGTTGTCTAATACTCATGCTGCCGTCGCCAAATATCGAAACGCACATATATTGTACATACATACGTATGTAGAGCTAGCTACCTGCACGGCTTGGGTTGTTTTCCTGCTTGCGCGTACTTCCTGTTTCCGTTAACAAACCAATAAGCAAGCAAATACAATGAACCAGCAGAAGCAGTGCTACATATTTGACTAGCTGCCTTTGGCCTTTGCAACAATCAGGATGTTGTTGTGGTGGGGTCTTCGAAATAAAATATGTTTGCAACCGATTCCTTGATTTGTGTTTGCTTGTTGTTTATACATACATACATATGTACTTATATGTTACAAACCAAAGTTGTTATAATACAATATTATTGACATTTCATCTCGTTGATATGTTTTTTCTTTTGCTTTTTCTTCTGCAATTGATTGTACCTTGATTGGTTTGCAATAAAAAAATGTTGATATGCAGAATTATATATGTATTTAAATAATATAAACACATAAGGAAGTATCATAGCAAAGCATATACCTGGATAACCATACATACATACATTCATAGGCATTTGTGTATTTTTATGTTATTTGAATTTATTGTAAATTCCAGACATGTCTGCGCCTTGTATTGTAATTGGCTTGCTGTCTTTATGGTTTAATGGCTTCATTATGCCAACTGCCTGCACGTCAGCATGCTCAAGACATAAAAATATTTAACGAAAGGTGTTAAGTAATTAGAGTTATTCATTTTGATGCATGTATTAGATTTGATGGCGTAGTAAATAAAAAAAATACTGACATATTGCATGACAATTTTTACTATCGTGTAGTAACTGCGGGAATGAGTTGGCATAAAATAATATTTATCATTCATAAGATTGGCAACAACGTTTAAAGTAACTGAAGTTTTAATAAAGGCGTTTGGTAACGCGAGTGTTATCGACAACAAATGACGGACACTAAATGTAAATTGCACGTATTTAAGTGAAAATGAATCTATTATTATCAGTAGAAATATAAACTTTTTCTGGTTAATTTTTTATAAAGTTAAATAGTGCAATTTCGTAGTTAAAATGTAGCCGAATTCATAAGTAGTAGGACAACTATCAGAATTGGAATATACTATGTACGTATGTATGTATTGTATGCGATACGCGAAGCAATGTGGAAAATATATAATTAACGTAGCGTGAAAGCGCAAATATAAATACGCAAACTGTGATAATTGAGTT